GGATGGTTGTCTTTCAAAATAGAGAAAAAATTACAAATGCAGTATGTGGAAACCCTTTCTAAACTCTAAAACTCTATATAAATGGTGGGAAGTGGTGTTTACTATCTGTAAGAGTTAAAGAGAAGCATGAGCAGCTATGGTAGAGCCTTTTTTCTAGCAGCATCACTAGCCAGCAGGCTCCCCAAGCCATGTCCTAGTCCAAAGGCCCCTAGAAGGAAGCATTTTGTTCTGGAGCACAGGAATATTCCCCAAACTGAAAGAAAGCCTCTTTTCACAACATTCCTAAGAAAATCTTCCACCTCCCATTGGTGTTAGATCTCCATGAAATCTGGACACCTCTCATTTCCAGATGTTCTAATTAGGCAGGAAACATCAACTCAGAGCCTCCCACCCCGTTCTCCAAAAGTTCCAGCATGAGGAAAGAAGGCCAAATTGAGGAAGGGTAGACGGTTGAAAACCAAGCCTGGGCTTACAGACAAAAGCTGCTTTGCCATTTGGCCTCATAGAAATATGAAATGACTCCAAATTGTGCTTTGGGTTATGCCGAGTGTGGGGAGGTCAGAGGAAGGGGAGAGAGGGAGTCCATGCCTGCTGGCCAGCAGCCAGATCGAAGCTCAGACACCTGGGTGCCAGATGTGCCTTGTGCATGAGGCCACTGTTGACCCAATGGCTACGCTTTCCACACAGTAGCTGCTGTGCTTGGTGGGAAAGAACGCTGCAAGGCTGAGCTGAAGATGAGACAGTCCAGGGCCCAGTTTCATTTTTGCTGCTTTTTCTTTTCCCCTCTGCACCTCCCAGACCTGCTGCACCCTTTCTTGCCTGATGAGGCTCAGAAGGAGCTCACTGTCAGCTCATCATTTTCATGTGTTCAGCAGGAGAACTTGGACTTTTTTAGATTACTTATGCCTTGATATACTTGTTTAAATTCATTTGGGAGAGACTTGTACACCTTTTACTTCTTTCTGAAAAATAGGTGGAGTTTGGTTGTGTGATCTGGTCATCTTAGTGCTCGATCCACAGGGTCCCCTGGAGACAGAAGTTGGACCGTTTTCCCAGGGCCAATGGGCTGGAGGGCTGGGAGCTTGTGCTCCGACTGGCAAACCCACCCACAGCAGTGGCATTAGAGGAAGATCCAGCTGGTGCAAACAATGATCTGCCATAGCCAGGTATAGGGTAAAGCAAGAAACCCGCAGTGCCCAAAACAAATGGCCATATTCAGGAAAAGTCTGGAATGGTGCGGTAATGCCTTCTTGGCTGGGAATCCCCCAGATGAGGATGATAAAGGCAGTGAAAGATACCCCAGATCTGTTTGTTACTATTGAGCTCCTATGTCCCTAAAAGTGGAGGAGCCCCACTGTGAGGGCTTTCCTTCCTTCCCTTTTGGGAGTCTGCTTGAACGTCTTCCTCTCGGGTAAATTGGGTTTGGAGGAGAAGCAGGCTGGGCTCATATCCGGTTCTTACTCTCATTGCCAGCTGTGGGTACCTCACCCAATCTGTCTGAGCTCCAGCTTCTTTATTTGTAATAACAAGGGGCCATGAGACTCACCTTCCCAGGGTGTCAAGCCCAGTTCCTGGTGCATTCCATGGGCTCAGAACAGCCTAGTACTGCTTCTCCTCCCTTCCACCTGTTCCTTTGATAATGTACTGCTAGTTTTTTCTTTCCAGTTTTCTTTGGAGTATTGGAAGATTTTAACATAGTTCCATTGAAAATGAAGCAAATTGAGAAAAAAAAA